AGGGGCGTGTCCTCCGCTGCTCAGCACCACGGGCATGCTGGGAGATGTACTTCTATGGTGGGGGCTGAATGAATCCTGCCAGAGCACTGCTTTCCTCTTCAACACACACACACTGCTCATTCCACCACAGCCTGTGCAGAGAGAAACACATCATCCGTCAGTCAAACAATGAATAGTAATGAAATGAACAGTAAAACCATTGCAAACATAGGATTTATTGCAGTGCCGTTGCATTGACTGCGTAGATTTTTGCACACGTTTAATTGTACCTAATAAACTGGTGAGTGTAGTTTAAAACCTGTTGTGACAACATAAACCCAGTCAGAGTGATTGAGCAAGTCACACTAATATTTGTAACTGTCCAGCAATAACACAAGCACTGAGAACTTAAGCCAGATCATACTGTAGTAGCCAACAAGGACAATCTATGACCCATGTGCTACAACCATACCTCATTAAACAACAACCTGTGGCGGCAGTCTGACAGAAGACTAAATATGTATAAAACAAATGGGTCGTCTAATCCAAAAATGGTTCACGATAACAGTTCAGAGTCAGTGTTGCTGTTCTATGAATCTCTCGATACATCAGTCCTACAGGAATGAAAACAATAAACAGTCATCTCGTGTAAACGTACCTCACACATATGACAACTTCAGGCCAAAACAAATATCTAAACAAATACTGTACATGGAACTGGTTTTCATGTCAAGCTACACTCAGCTGCGTGTATTCCATTTCTATTACATCAGTGAGGGTAGACTAAATATTAGAAACACCTCTCAGCGTAGTGCACACCAATTCAACAGCACCACAAACTACAACCTCAGAAATAACTATAAAGGTTGAATCAACACCTCTCAAAAGCCTGAACATTGTTCGTAAAGTTAGATTGTAGACTGTCATCTCTTAATACCAATGCGCTGCTATGGACACAGTTCTTTAGCAGAACCAATACAATCAATTTATAATCAATAAAATCTTTTTTTAAATAATTATTTGTGTCAAATTATTGATTTCTTAGCACGTGTAATAAGCAGGAAAATGTGTAGCAAATGGGTCATTATGATGTTGATCATCCCTTATAGAGGTGTACCCAACGAATCGAAAACAGATCATATACAGCAAGACGCAACTGACTGAGTGACGTCGCCTGTCAGGCATGGTATCCACAGATGTCAGAGGAGAATCCAGATATCGTCACCCCAGGAAAACACTACAGCAGCTCACTATGAACAGTCCACCTTTGGTTTGAAAATGGTCTAAATTAAAGGTGAAATTGACCGATGTAATGTCCATTTTGCATGAAGAACTGCATATTCTGCAGTACAGCACTAATCAAAAGTAATGTAAATTGTCTAATTGGTTTAATCCAAAATAAACTATGAAATGTGTAGGATGCAGATAATATAGTCACACAGTAGGTCTATCATTCTTGGGGCAGAGTGGTTGTCCATCTACCATTAAAACTACTTAAGTGGTGATAATCAGAAGGAAGAGAGTGGAGGATGAGCAGCTACCGATGTAAACAGAGAATCCCTTCACAAACCAGCGGCCGGTGACATAACTTCCGTCCGTGACGTTGATCGTGAGAAGAGTATATGTTAAGCACCCTGAAAATACAGTTTGGACATTTGTCCCAGTGATCTGCATATTGGTAACAAATGTGTTACACGTCTCTGGTTCAAGATGTTCCATCAGCAGCAGCTTGGTTGTTAAACCTGTAGAAGTATTGTACTGAGATATGTCTCTAATGTCTATTTTATATAAGTGACGGTAGACTAGAATGTAAAAACACAATAAAGTTCAACAGCACCACAAACTACATCCTCCAAAATGACCACAGTGTTGAATAAACACCTCTCTAAAACAATATTACCTGTAATAGACAGTTTCCAGTTTAACAGGAAACTACGTGTATTGTGTAAATGAAACTATTTCAAAGTAGCAGTACAGTTGCACTAGTGAGGTTAATGACTATTTGCCAAGAGATTGAGACAAACTAGTGGTCGGAGGGTCCCCGCCATATAACCTGGGTAAAGGGTGGTGGGCAGATTGTCATGTGACCAATGATCAACTGAATACATGTGCATTTGTGTTTTACAACCTGTCCTTAACCAACAAGCTCTAATCTCTGTTAGAATTACCAGTTTCACATTAATGTCCCCACAGGCCATGAGGACATTACACTTCTTTATTACACAGAGCCATATACAGTAATTCACTTCGCCTTTTCTTGACACTGTGGATCTTCAAACGCATGCAGCTTTCTCTCAAGGTCTGGATAAAATAAAAGACAAAAAAACCCACCAGCAAGGTAACAACAAACCAGCTGGCCAAGCGTGCGTTTTCCTGCTCCACTCTTCATTGAGCAACAAGGAAATAATAGCTCTGTATTTGCTCTGCTTACAGCTCGAGATCAGGCAGAGAAACACCCGGAAATCCACAACACACTGTGGGCCATTCCCCAAAGAGAAACGCACACGGCATGTTTAACGGAAACAGGCACCATGTAACCGGGTTAATCATTGCTCAATGCCGGGTATCAAACCACCGCATACCGGGCACAGACAGGGGTGTGACAATACTAGCAGACAACCTGCAGCGAGCAGCAGATAACGTTAGGTGTAGGTGACAAACATTTTCCTCTTTAACAGACATGACACAACAAAACCAAAAGGGCTTATGGAGAAGCTCAGGGAAAGAGGTCTCCGCGGTTTCATTGTCATGCATCTGCGTCCACTAACGAGCAGTGTCGGATGTATTGTGATGGGTTCACAGCCCATATCTACCAACAATAACACGGCCTCCAGCTCAGCTCAGCCCGGGCGAACCGGTGGACAAACACGGGCTGCACACACTGTTTATAACGCCGACAGTGGTGCCCTAACATCCACGACGCTCTTGTTAATAGACACCCGGGAGGTCTCCAACTGTGTGCCGAGCCTGCAGCCCCGTGACGGGGATGCTAACAAAGGCCCGAGAGCTGTCTGGAGCGGAACACCCGACACAACGGGAGGAAGGAGGCAGCAAAAAGAAGAGGCACCCGCCTCTACCGCCTCACAATACTCCCCGTCTTTAGCCCCTCTCAGAACCGCCATTGCAACAATACCCGCACTGATGCGTTCATAAGGAATGTCCCGTGCTACCGCGACCGGGGAAAAGGTGATACTCACCGGCGGAGAGGGAGGATGGACGCGGATTTCGGCCCCAGTTTCTCTCTGACACCCCAGGCTTTCACTCCGACAACATGGCGGCTCAACGGAGGAGCAGGCGAGAGCGCTGCATGATGGGAAGGCATGAGAGGCGAGCGTGCGGTTCATTGCGCCAACCGGGAGGGGAGGGAGGGTCATACCGGACCGATCCCTTTGTTGTGTAGTCTATTTCTATTGAGGGGTGTATTTATTATGCGTTCCGTTTTCACTTCATTCACATTATTTGTCAATGGAGTAAAAACAATTACGTCGCCAAAATAAACTGCAAAAACCTACAAGATTTAGTAAACGGCAAACAAAATGTAAATATGTATATATGTCACCATAGGGCGTTAGTGGTACTTGCACTAGAAAACACTGTAAAATACAATGACGTTATCTACTTTTATATGGGTGTATGACGTGATGTCGTCGGCGGTAGACTGTACACAATGTATCGGGGTCTTTACGGTAACGAGGTGCTGCTGCACGCGCCGTTACACCTCCGGAATGTAAGAGAGGATGGTGTGAAAATAGCAGCGTGTCATCCAAATAACTAAAATACCCCCTTTAAGACTTTCTGGTAAGGTGCCAGTGAGGCGCACCCGAGTCGCGCGCCCCAATCCGGTGTGAGGGTGACGTAATGCACCTAGATTGTGGCAGGCCTAAGAAAAAATGGTAATCACATGGAAATATTCAGGACAGGCTCCTGAACATACTTGTGTGGTCCTGTCATATTGGATTAAAAAGCCTAAAGTGCATGCATATATAAAGTCACAGTTCTTATTGTACTTACATAGAAGTTGAGACAGGAAGTCCGTCTCTTGCTCGTCAATCTTAATTGCAATTTCTGAAATTGCTGTATTGGCCGTGTGATATTTTCCTTTTACTCAGTCAACCCTTTGTAAAATACGAATACACAAAAATGTTACATCAGAAACAATAAACAAACAAAGAGTAACTTTATGAATAACAGTGCTATTTTTCTCATAGTGGATGACCACTCTATGAAATTATTTTGACAATCGGAACATTAACTTAATTAATACCATTAAAATTATCTTAGATGAAAGGGTCAAGAGTGAGCTCATAATATAAGTGCATTTATGAGTATCATAGTGTTATTTGTGTAATGTTGGGCTGTCTTTCTATACAAATGTATCATTTTGTTTTGACAAAAAAAATCCTCATTGTACAACATCAGCTCACCAGAGTGCGTGTTTTTAAATAATCTTCTAAACTAATCTGGCAAAAAATCATCATTCTGTTCCCCATAATCCAGATATTAATATAATGTAATCAAAATTGGGAGCAAAAGCACTCATTTTATTAAACCTTTAGTAAAGCTCAGTGAGACAAATGTGACTACAGATGACAACAGAGGTAATATTTAATGTAGAAAGTGTGTTTTTATTATTTCAAACGTCTCCTTACATCCAGTAAGGTGTCTTCACCTCATACCTGTCTCCCTTTTCCCCTCCTCATATCTCCGATTACGTCAACAAAAACTACTGATTATGATATTATGTTCTATGTTCATCTCCTTGAGGTGAATGTAGTTTTTGAGAAAGACGATACAGAGAATTAGCTGCAGATTAGAAGATAAACAGGTATGAAGTAAACCTTTGATGTGTACCCATCCCCCCCCCCCCCCTCCCCCCCAATGCAACCCCCCTTCTCTAAAAGAACCAACAGAACAATCATTGGCTGGTTATTTACATGCACTGCCCACTAAGACGCACTAATGCCTGATCCCAAAGCCATCTGCACCCCTACTCATCAGCATCACATGTACAGTAGCCTGGATTTATCTTCCTGAAAACAAAACATCCTGCAAATCACATTTGACTTGATTTTTGCAGATACCCAGAACTTTTAGGGATGTCTGGTTATATTTTACATTTTCATTATTGTCAACAACATCACATGAAAAGACCAAATTGAACAATTTATTAATCCTACTAACAGTAATTGTTTGTGTAGTCAAAGCCTGGTACATCTCATTCCTCAGTGAAATGCATTTCTGTCCAAAACTTTAAAAAATAATAAAAACACATCCATGAGCCACACAGTTGCACTGGTTGACGTGTTCCTTCATTCCGATGTAGTTTATTTTGAAATGATCCCACATACACCGTCCTGCTGCTGGAAGTATAGCGGAGCACATGGAAATAGTCCCCCGACAAAAGCAATATTTACTGCTGTTTTAGTGAAATTTACATTGCCCAATTGTTTCACCTTTCCTTAAAATGACAGTACATTTCTGTGACTCTTTTTGAACTAATTGTTTTGGGCTTGAGAGACACAAGCTGGTAAAGTTGGACAGTTTCAAGAGACGCATGAACGCATTGTTGGTTTTGGTGAATAATAAAATGTATGAAACATGGCCGGTCTGATCCTTTACGCGGTTCATCCTTTCTGTTCCACCTGTTGTTCCACTATCTCAGTCGGCCAGGTCGGTAATGTCGAAAGGTTTGAACTCAAACAGGGGTTTTAACAGCATGGGAGGAAGGACAGATGGCTCTGGGGATGGGAATCGTAAGACTGCTCTAGTTCGACATCACCACATTCTAAAACGACAACAGGTACGAGCCGTGCCTCCATTTATTATGTGACCCCCCCCCCAAACACACACATACACACACACACACGCAAGCACCCAAAAACAAATATTCACAGGGACACCGAGTGGTAAGAGTCCAGGGTGCCACCACAAAGCACCAGCCAGTATTGTGGAGTTGCACAATCACACACACATACACATACACACTTGTGGGAGTGTTGAGAGCTGGCAGTTTAGTGAAGTGTGTCTTCTGTGAATTGACAGAGGTGCCCCCAGCTCTTGTTCTCTGCATCTTCTTTCCTCCTCCTCCTCCTCCATCGTCTCACACCCCCTGACATGCTGGTTCTTCCCTGAGCTCTGTACATTCTATTCAGGGCTGCGTTTCTCTTTCTCAGACACAAGCACACATGCACACACGCACAGACGTCTCTCCCGCTGGGTGGGGTAAGTCCAGTCCTCCATTAAACTGTGACACACAGAGTGAGTGTAATTGAGGCAACCACCACTTTCCATCCACTGTGACAGCGTCAGCGTTTGTCCTGAAGGGGGCGCTACCAGCAGTTAACCAGCCCTGTGATGCAGAGAGGAGGAGATCAGGGGAATGCACACCGACAAGACAATCAATGTTACGGTATAGTTTGAGCATGAAAGGGGCACTCCACTGATTCTACACATGAAGTCTGATCTACAGAAAACATTATGTCTGCTGTGGCTCTGGAGGGTGTTTGAAGAAATAGCCCTGATAATATCACTAGGGTTATCTCAGCTTGTGCTTGAGAATTTGCATTACAAAGTGGAGGTGTGGGCTCTTAAAGAAATGTTCATTTATGATGGCTTAATAAGAGTTGCATTCTGGGAAATGTAGGATGCAGCGTTGCAGGACCCTGATCCACACCAGGGATTAAAAGTCTGTATATCTTTGATTTCAATCTGCCTCAAATTTATTTGAAATGTACAACGATATTTAGCTGGAGTACCCCTTAAAAGAAAAAATGTTCAACAATTAGATCAAAAAGTAGAAGAACATGGAGAATGCAGTCTTTATCACTCACGTGTAAAGAGGCTGCAGTTGCAGATGGGAGGACTTCTGAGGAGGCTGGTAGCCGTACGAGTCAAAGCCACCGATGAAGTCAACTTCAAAAGGAGAAAGAAAGAGAAGGGATGACATCATTCCCCTTTCCCTTAAACCTGCATTTATTTATTTTTTAAGTGTTGTATTTCAAGATCCGATTCTCCTTTGACGTGAGAGGTATCACAATGCTTTCAGTACACCTTTATTACACTGTAAAGAATCTGCATAGGTGAACCGATACATCGTCTCTCTCTCACTGCTTCTCTGTCACTGATACATTATTCTAAACTCTCTCAATCGATTCTGAGGAACAAACTTATGAGGTGCCGGCTGAAAGATGCAAGATCTGCCATTTTAATAAAATTACTCCTGTGAGGTTGTATTGTATTTCTTTCCTTCTTTGAAATATTGGCTATTATTAGTTTATTGTGGATGTACTGGTATCAGGTAGACGTATTGGTCAATAAAAGGAAGACACTGCGGAACATAAAGGCTTAAGATGTGTTTGATTTCATTTAGAAACGGTGTTTACGATCCATAGTTTTCCGCCCAAAAGTTTATTTCTTATAATGTTAAATATCCCACTTAGTATCTATGTAACTGCCATCGTTTTGTAATGATTGTATGTTCTGTTTGTGCTCGATACCTTGTGCTCATGGTCCTGAGACACATAGATAAAAGAAAAAAAATAAATGAAATATTATTAATGCAGCAAAGAATATACTGTCATTTCTATCTTATCATCCCTTCTATGTTATTATATGAATAGAATAATGACCATTGAGCTGTTCAGACGTCACAGACACAGCATGACTCTTACCGTTACATAAAATCAAGCTCATGATGTCATATTCTAACTACCGGACTTAATTACCTCTGCTGAGTGACAGTGAAACACACGAGGAGAAGAACCAATCAGACACACAGATGGCACACCCGAGCGCACAGACAACCACCAGCTTGGCACTCTTGACAGAGGGAATCTTCCGGCAGACGTCTCTTAATGCTGCCCTCAGATAGAGCACTCGGATCACCCAGAGGGGAATCCTCTGCGGTGATATCGCCCGACATGACTCATGCAGGAGAAGACAATAAGCTAACAGCACTCACGTCCAAAGACGTGGTTCGCTAACACAAAAGCCCTCTCAACAGCGTGACACCAGTGAACCTGATCGGCCCGAACAAGGCGCTGGAATAAGATCAACAAGCTTTTAGGAGAAGAAAAAAGCACTCACAGCTGTCCTCGTCATCCTGGAAGACTTTGCTCACGTAGCAGGCGTATACAAAGCCAAAGAGCTGGAAGAGAAGAGGCGGTCAGACATTAGGTGATTGTTGCTGAACAGGCTGAGTCACTGCTGACTAAAGAGTGTCTAAACAATGTTTAGAAATGTTTATATGTGTGTGTGTGTGTTAGACACGTACAGCCAACAGGACCTGGAAGGCTGAACTTAACACCTCTATGTACTGGTAGTCCAGCAGACACCCAGAGACAGTGATGACATGGTGGTCGTCAGGGGCCATGCGAGAGTCCAGCACTGGCGTTACCAGGCAACCAGGACCATGCTCCATCCACCACGAGCGATGAAGAGACGTGTTGAACGTCATGAGGAAGTCTCGGTCCTAAAAACACAAATAAACACGTACGATTATTGTCACTGTTGATTCATCAGTCGGTTTTGCTTTTTGATTAAATGTCAAAATGTCAGAGCTTAACCTAAAACTGCTAATCCTCTGATTTAAGAAGCTGGAACCAAAGATTATTCAACATTTTAGTACGATACATGATTTAAATCAGGGGTTCCCAATGTGGGGGTCAGGGCCCCATTAAGGGGTCACTATAGGTAAATATTGGGGGTCACAATGCAAGAAGAAAGCAGGAAAAAAACATATTTCTGCGACACAAAACTAGGGTTTTAATAACTGGATAATTCAACAAAGTATTCAAGTAATAAGTACTCTGAGGGTAGAACTCACCTGAGACAGGTTTCCTACTTCAAGGTAGAAACAGATAATGAAGGAGTTCCAACCCACCCAAAGGACCAGCCACACTGCATACTGAGGAACAGAGCAACACGTCAGTGTCTCACACTCACACTGTGTCAACGTGAAGTAAACAGGAGCGTCACCAGAGGGCGAGGGCTATACTCACAAAGATAAGGTATCTGAAGCGAAACTGCACGGTGCCAAACATGCCCAGGATGACGGCCATGATGTGCAGGAAGTTAGCCAGGATGGGAGCCCATTGGTAGCCCAGGAAATCAAACACCTGCCTCTGAAGGGCTGCCACCTATAGGGGACAAGGGGGGGGGGGGGGATAATACACACACATTAGAGGAAAACACATACATATACACACAACAGAGGACAACATACATGGAAACACCACACACACACACACACAAGTGAGTATGGTTTCTTTCTCACACACACACACACACACACACACACACACACACAGTGACAGGGACACATGCATAGGTCTGCCGCAGTTGTTTCCATGGTAACTGCCTGGAGCACCATAGCCAGTCCAGTGACTGTAAAAGAGGAGCACCCCCC